CACAGACAAGAATCATGATTACAGGTTTTATTAAGAGTTGACAGGTTGTGAAAAAGTGAGAAGTGCTCAAGATACAATTGTTTACCAGGATGTGTTACAAAGCTCTTTCATGTCTTCTAGTAAATGCCCAAAGACGCAGCATACCACTTCACTGAAGCTTCAACCCAAAGGCATTCAGCTTCACTTCCATGGGTCAGCAAGCCCCAGCTTCCCCACTTAGGTGTCCAGGGGCACCTACTAAGTCAGCCTCCTGCACAAAAGCACTCCGCTTTTCTTGTTCCAGGAGCTAGGAAGTCCACCACGCTATTTTGTGTCCTGGCTCCTGCGTCCACTGCGTCACTGATGGTGTAGCTGTCATCTGGATTCAGGAGGTTCAGTGCACGGGAATCTCAGGTCCACAAGAGTCCTTTATTCTTTTTATTTTAAGAGTCCTCTACTCTTGCTGGTAAGATCCCTCTTTCTACTTCTCAGAGGATTCATTTTATACACAGCAAGATGACATTCCAGGGAATCCTGGTCACAAGTGCTCACAGGTGAATCCTATCTGTAACTGTCCCCAACCTTCTTACCCAGCCCCGCGCAGGGAAAGGTTGTTTGGTGGGAGTTAGAATATTTGGCTAGAAGAGCCATGTTAAAGAATTCACTACCCCTGCACATTTTAATATCTTTTCATTCCATTTTTCAATAATTTTCTGAAGGCCAGCTGTAAACACAGGTAGTATAACCAAGTGGTTAGTTAACACCATTAACTCTGGAACCAACCAATGTGGGTTCAAATTCTAGCTTAGTAGCTGAATGATGTCAGTTAAGGTATTTAATATATCTGTACCTCAGTTTCCTTATCTGTTAAAACTGGGTGATAATATCATTCAGGACTAAAAGAATAAAGATGCCATTATTTCAAATATGGGTATTATTGTTGTTTATTGCAAATAAATTAGGCAATTTATTTCTTTAACTAGATTTTTTGGTAAAATTAGAATAGTAAAAGTCTATACTTAAAATATCTCAACATTCCTTAGTATGACATTAATTTTAAAGACAGTTATTTTTTGAAGTCCTCAGTAGCTGACACCAGGTGCTATCTTGATCATTTTGGTGCTGTCGGGCTAAGTGTTGAACTGTGCACCACAAGGTCAGCAGGTAAAACCCATCAACTGCTCCGAAGGGGACAGAAAGGTGGTCTGCTTCCCCCAAAATTTACAAAATTGCAGAAATAGGGTTGCTATGAGTCAACCCAATGGCAGTGAGTTTGTTTTGTCCTGAGCACTTTGTTTTGTTCTCTGTATGCAATTATTTAACCCCAAAAGGTAAATATTGCTACTATCCCAACTTTCCAGACATAGAATCTGAGGCAGTGAGAAGTAAAGTAACTTCCCCAAGTGATTCAACTAGGAAAGCAAGGATTCAAAATGATGTACTATCTAGTGCTTATAAATAAAAATTACCAGTAATAGAATAAGAGAAGGAAATGGACTGTATAGCTAATTGCCTCCATGAACAACTGCACCTTTTTGCCATGACACCCAAACTGGGTGACACCCAGCTACCATTACTGAGTATTTTGCTCAGCGTGCAGACCGACTAAGTAGGGTGAATGGATACAGCATTTCCTGATTTTAAACCATGCAGTGCTCCCTGGCTCTCTTTGAACAACTGCCTCTTAGTCTATGTTTAGGTTCCATATGAGCACAATTAGATGTTCTGGAATTTCCATTCTTCGCAATGTTGTCCAACATTTGTTATGATCCACACA